TGTCCCAGCACAGACTGGTCCCGGTTCCTAGAGGAAGTAAGAAGAGCCAATGCTAGCACAAGGTCAGCTGAGAAATCTTCCTAGCAGTCAATGTCATTTTTCACAGAAGGACCCATGGTTATTAAGGCATCACTACACAAAGTCATCTCTATAAACAATTCTCTTTAGGTGAGCTGTCTCATAACACTTGACTAAGCAGGTGCATCCTTGTAACTACACAGCTGCAACCACAGAGCTAAAATCAGTTGGTGTTTTGATAATTATTACTCCTATTGTTTCCCAGTGTGCCTGAGCTGTTAGTAGTGACTTCAGGGATAACTGTAGTGACATGTGACACACAGAAGTGTGTTGCAAGGAGTATGCAGGATATTGTAGCCTCCAAGAGATCTTGTTAGAGCTTGGAGAGAAAAAATGCAGAGTAGATTGCTTGTATCTTTGGCACAGTAGGTGGAGGGAGAAGTAGATGGACACAGTGCTTGTTTGTGACCATCTAAACTAAAGTCTATGTGCTTGCAAGGCCATGCCAGGTGCAAACAAAACCCGTATGTTCTTTCTGATTCTGTATTTGAGAGCCTCTCCTTTTTATTTTTTTGCCTGAGCCTGCTTAGTTGAGTCATGCTGTTACTCACTTTGGGACTCTTTCTGTATGTTGGTACACAAGAAGGTCATGTGGATTATTCCAGTGACAGCAAGTAGTCAGATGTGTTGCCACAGCCAACTACCTAAGTATTAGCAGAAGTCTGAGATAATGCAAAGCAAAACGTATACCCAAAAAGCAGCAGTGTGATAAGTCTTGGTAGTGTGCGTGTTAAAACTGCATTAACCCTGATGGTGATAGGAAAGGCTATATTTCATAATCATGAAACTCCTTCTCCTGGACAGAAATAGCAGCACGCCTTGAAAGTAGTTTTATAAAATTTTATTTCTAAACCTAAGGAAACTCACATTTGCTGGCACCACCAAGGTCAAAGACAGTGCAGGGAGGGTTGCTGGCACTACTGAAGGTAAACCATGACCCCACCTCAGCCGTATTTGGTTGTCTCCAGTTTCTGTGGGATGTGCAGTAAGAGAAGTTTGCTGTTTCTGCCTGTCCTCATACCATGTGCCAAAGATCATTCACAACCTACGTGTGGGAGGTGTTTATTATAGCTTGTCAGTTTCAAATATAATTGGTTTTCTTACATGTCACTACTTTTTGAGAGAGATGCTGATTTTTGTACACAGAAGGGATTTTTCTTGGGCCTAGGTGATGCAGAATGGTCAGGGCTTCAGCTCAACATCAGAGAGAGGAGAAATTCAGCCCTGCAATGTATAGCTCTCGTGTTTCTTCTCCAAGACAGGCTACCATTTCTCATCTGGCTCTACCTTCTATCTTCTTAAGATAAGAAATATGGTCTACCAATGAAATCAAGTTAAGATGTTGGGCAGCACATCTGAAGATGGAGAAGGCCTCTGGAGTTTTCATAAAAACTCAACCTGGCTGTGAGTCAGCTATTGGCAACCCATGATATTCACTCCCACTGGTGACATATTGTCTAAAATTTTCAGATTTCAGATGTGAAACCAGCAACAGATTTTATAAAAACCAGAATTGGTAATAGGTGACTGAGGGTAATTATCATACCCATTCTGCCTTTTACAGGTAATTCAGTACCCCATTTCATCTGGGAGAAACCACACTTAAGGCGCTTTAAGAAATTACCCTTCAATTTTAGCTCAGTGAATATTCAGGAAAGGGCAGCTCAAGCTTCTTGTCAGCACAGGTTATGTCCTCATCTTGCATCCCAGAAAGTGGTTTTGCATTACTAGCATATCAGTCATAGCCAGGTGCAATGCTGCCCTGTAATTGTGATGTGGCTTAGTGCATTCAGAAAATGAGATGTAACTTTATGGTAAGTGGATAGTCTGGCAAATAAGCAAGTGTGGAAACAGTTTATGTACCAGTTTGCTCACGTTGACGAAAAGGTCCCAGCAAAGGGGAAGTTTGAAAGGATGTGAGCTCAACTGCCTCTGATACACAAAAATTTCCATCTGTTGAGTTCTCATTGTCTTAATTAGAGAAGAAATATACAGGAAATAGGATTTTTGAACCCAAACAACTGCTTCCAAAGACCTTTGCATGAGATGATTACTTGATAATAAGTGAGAGGGATCACTAAGTGATGCAGCACAAAGTTCCCAGAGTTTAATTTTTCTTACAACTATTTCATACTGCCAGGAATTGCTTTGGGAATCACCTCATTTTCCAGATTTTCCTCACCTATGTCAGAGAGCTGAGTTTACTTGGACGCTGCTTCATACCACATGGAAGACTAGTTTTTACCAGTTAGCCTAATTGAGTAAATAGATTTATAGAATAATTCTCTACTTTTCACCTGCAGCACTTTGAGATTTATACTGATTGAAAAAACAGTTCAGCATATAAAATTGGGTCTCAGAGTAGTGCTGAAATGATTTGATGAACAGAATGAGTTTCTATTTATTATCCCACTTTAGTGTCTAGAAACATGTAATGTTCACTTTTCCTTGCCATCACCACGTGTGTGGTGGAAGCAAACAAGTGACAAAAGAGCCTCCTCCTGTGCAGCAGAGGGCAGCAGGGCTAAAAAGGACTTACAGACATGCCTCTATTAAATTACAGAGCCAAGAGAATTTGCCCATTTGCTGTAAGAGAAGGGATTTGACCCTCATCCTAAAGCTATATTAGTATAAAAGGACTTTTATTTTCCCAAGAAAATGTGTGTTTGTCTGCTTGCTTTTTGGAGCCACTAAGTTGACATTCAGAAAGTTTAGGGACATAAGGATGATATCTAGAAAATATTGAATGTGGTTTTAAATGGGTTTGCACTCTAATGCCAGTGCACACAGCTCTTATGCACCTGAAAAATGTGTTGTGACTTCATGTAGGTATCTTGCATGCCATCTGAGGGACCCTTTCCCACAGTTTGTTAGGCTCTGCAATTCATTAGAGAAATCTTCACCAAAACCTCTTAATCCTGGCAGCTTTCCTAGTAGAATCAATCTTTTGATGATCTGGATGATCAGTAATGACAAAACCAGCCTTGGTATTAGTATTTCACTTGATAAATTGCAGAGATCTAGGTTTCACTTACATTTGTCAACAGTGGCTTTCCAGAGAAGTGCAAGGTATTTGAAAAATTACCTCTAATGTTTCAGGCTTGGGGGGGAAGTACTTTTTCAAATTATAAGAACATTTCCCTTATGCACCATTAAATGAACTGGGGAGAAAGGAAAGCAGGACAGGGGTGGGAGTACTCTTGAGTCTCTAAAGGTAAGCCACATGAATAGCCACATGCCAAATGATTTAAGTTCTATTCCTGTGAGCCATGCCATGTAATGATAAAGTGGTTTTGTTAATGATACAGTGAGCCACAAAAGAGTAAGAGTTTCTTTTCTTTAAAGTTCTCCTTTCTTTGCTGCTGTGTCTGGGACTGTCCTAGTTCTCATCTGGTTCCTTAATTGTGTGTGTACTATGCTGGATTCTTCCCATCTTCTCTCACATCCCCAGTGATGTGTCTACAGGACCTGCTGCTGGTCCCCATTCTCCCTCTCTCTCTCTGCATCCACTGTCTCTCCTGCAGACACAGATGCCATTTATGTGGTGGGTTACTCAGCTCTGTCTTGCCTCTGCACTGATCCTTCTGTCCATCCCAAAATGCAGTCTGGGGCTCCCACATTTTGCAATGGGATGACTGGTGACTTGGAGTAAACACAGCTTTTCATTGTCCTCAGGGCCCTCTCTGCTGCCCCCTTCTTTGGGGGGACATTAGCCCGACTTGCCACTGCTGCCCGCGGGCTAAATGCAGGTGTCATCTGAGAATGCCATTCAAGGATAGGCAGTTCCAGAGGGCAAATTTTTCCATCTGTTTCTAGCATCGGCTTTTGATTGTTACAGTTAGAAGGTGTGAGTGCTACCCCTGGTTAACATGGATGGAGAATGAAGTGAAATGTGACATGTGTGATCTCTGCTGGGTCTTCAATGGGGAGATCAAGCAAAATGCTGTCGCTGCTAAACGGTGATTCTGGATTTCTTTGAATACTGAATGTAAACTGGAAGATGTAATGTGGAATTTAAATGGCAGGGTTAGATGGCAAGAGTTCAAATGTTACCTGCACTGATACTGCTGTTAGATCAAAGGCCCCTGCAGCTCACAGAAGTGGGACACTGTGCTAAACAGGAGGGTTTTTTTACCAATTTACAAGGTTCTATCTCCGTGGTGCTTCTGTTAAAAATATAAATCACAGAGTGAAAACAAAAAAAAACCCCTGTCACTAAATCACTGATGAAAATAAAGGTCTTTCTTGGAAGGTGACTATACTCACGTATGGATGGGGGAGCCAGTAGGATGTTCTCCTGGGCTGGATGAACCCCTCTGCAGTGACCCCAGATTTTGTAGGTTGGTGGGAGGTGTCTTTCCCACTACTCTTCTCAATGTATGCTCCACACCTTCTGTGATTGTTCGAATTCTCCCCTGGACTTTGGCTCTCAACCGTGTTGTATTTCAGAAATTACCAGCTTTCCCCATCAGGATAAGCCCATGCCCTCTGTGTCTTTTGTCTTGTTATAATGCCACCTCAAAGGGAGGGCAGGCATTCCCTGAATTTGTGGCAATTACTGCTGTGTGATCCAAGTGGGGCATAAGGTGTGTATTTCATAGCTTATTTCTGAGAATGATAGGAGTTCAACAAATCTGGAGCTTTTTCCCAGTTACATACTAGACCCTGATGTATTTAGTCTAGGTTATCTACCAGTACAAAAATTTGCTTCACATCCCAACTCCTAATGGAAAAAAACCCACTGTTCTCCACCTGCAGGAAGACATATAACTTTCCTGAGGTAAGGTCAACAAGGCACACAAAGAGAGCTGTTGGCTGTGGGGATGGAGGACAGACTGGTCCAAAAAAAAATAAAAGAGAAATCATTTGAGGGAAGGGAACCATGTGCTGAGTTACAGGAAAATCTTTGTTTCTAACTCTAGGTCCTTCTTCAGTTATCAGCAATGATGATGATTCAGCCAGTCCCCTCCACCACATCTCAAATGGCAGTAACACTCCATCTTCTTCTGAGGGGGGTCCTGATGCAGTCATCATTGGGATGACAAAGATTCCTGTCATCGAAAATCCCCAGTATTTTGGAATTACCAACAGTCAGCTCAAGCCAGACACCTGTAAGTACAACCAACTGTATGTGTTTCAGTCATTCATTTTGCCTGTGCAAATGCTGGGGCTCCTTAACAGAGCTAGCAGAACAAAATGCTCTAAATTCCTGGGAGTAGAAGGGTGGGGTTAAAATGTATGCAATTTGTTCAAGGTACATGGAATGAACTGCTTTACGTCTGTCAAAGCCAAATTCAGCCCTTGTGATGAGCCAATGAGTCAGCAGTGTTATGCTCAAAACCCGATCCATATTCCATCAAAGTCACCGGTAGTCTTTCCATTGATTTCAGTGGTCTTTGGCCGGTCCTGTGCACTGGATGTGTTCTTGGGAGAAAACAAATCTTGGGTCAGAAGCAGAAGTCAGTATTGTTACATACACACTGCTTTTAAATTGATCGTATTGGCAATGAACATAACCTAACTTTGAAATCTGAGTATTTGTAAAGCCATAAAAATTATAAGGGTTAAAATTTCAATATTTTAAGTTTCATTTGGTAATTCAACCTCTATAGCTGGAAAAGATGTTGAATATTTAAAAGTAGAGCAGAAGGTTGCATGATGGGCAATAAATGTCACATACAAATTCTTTCATGTTCAGTTAGAAGCAGGTGAAATGTGAAAAAATACAAAGAGTTAAACATAATTAACTATGAATAGTTAAAAATGAGTATCCCTAACTTCAGGTGCTACTCTTCATATCTAGTAACAGTTTTAGAATTGGACATATGAAATGTTGATTTTTGAACCAGTGATTAGCATTGCAGCAGATACCTGAAAAAATACCTGAAGGATTTTGTGATTAATAGTTACTGCACTGCTTACTATTTTTCATCAGTACGTTAAGGTCTTTAAGTGTTTCAGAGAAGGTTGTTCTTGCCTCTTTTTTCCTGTTGGTTTTTTTTTTTTGTGAATGTACATACATTTCTGAAGTGTTACTGGAAGTCTGAACTGTTTCTCTGGGAAGTCACTCTGGAGATTCCCAGTATGGCTGGTGTGCGTTGGGCTTACAGTTAAGGGACGCTACATCCTATCCGTATCCTACCCTGAATGATACCACTTCATAGCACAAACTGTAGTCGAGGGGCTTACTGCCAAGGCCAGAAACCTTTGCCCCCAACTTCGCAAAGCTTGAATGCTGTAATAGGAATCTTTCTTGACCTGTGCACAAGCACATGCATGCATTTGTGTATGCATTACTTCTAAGGTTGCAAAGACTGACGCTGGACTACCTACATATCTTGTGAATATTAATGCTCATCTACATCTAGATTGTTGCACTAAGCACAATCCGCAGAAGCCACTAGGGAATCAGAAATGGGCAACATGCCCCCTAGAGCTCTCTAATGTTATATAAAAGGCCACGCTTTTAAATATGAGGCTACTGTACCTCTGTTCCCAGCTGCATTAGACAACATTATAATTGTTTAAATAAACATCAATGCCTATAGAGTATTTAACTTTCAGCATTAATGTTGAAACAACATACATGCCGTTCTGGGGAAAAACCCAAACTGTACCAAAACACAGAATTCTCTCACATTTAGTAAGCTGCACATTAAGTATAGACACATTAAATCACAGCTGACTAGTGCTAAGTGGGTCCTGATCCTAAAAATACGTAAGTCTGTGTTTGGTTTTGTATGCTGCAATGAAACCCACATGGTGTCAGGGAAATTAATCACAGTACATGAAGTTCAGTTTGTGCATAAACGCTTGCAGGATGCAGCTCAAGACTTTGTTGTGGTGCTCTGGGGATATCTGTGGGGCCTGATGCTCTGCATTCTGCTGCAATTGCCATGGTGGTCCCAGTCTTTGTGTTTTTTATTGCTTTAGCAAAGAGAATCAGGTAAACTCTGGCAGTGTATAAACCAAGGCAGATTTCTCCTACCACACTGAGTATCTGCCCAATAAAAAGCGTTATTAAAATTATCTCAGACAAAAATGGTTTTCCCAGAAATAATTTCACATACATTCTTTTTCCATCTCTCTCACTCGCTTATTACAGAGCTGCACTTGTCCTTTCTTAACCTGCCAACCTCCTGACGTGTATATCTGGTATTTATAAACTGCTAAGCTGAGTAGCTCTCATACCTTTTTCCTGTTTACAATAATGCCAGCTCCAGATGTCATCTGCTCTCATCTCCAGCAAGATAATTAACATTTATGTTTATTTCCTATCTGGTCTAAGTTCCATTGTCTGCTAGTATTAAACACAGCAATCACTAACAGTCATGCTGGAAAAGATTCTTACGTATTTAGCATATGTTGGTCTGTGGAAGGAGGTGAGACTTCGAGCTAGGTGAAACTGTACACAGATTGTATTGCAGTTTTCACAGAAGTTGAAGGAGTACATCTGCTGTGAGTAACAAGTGGAGTTTCTTTTTTGTTATCTACTTAAGCCATATTGTGACTTGTCTACAGGTAACCATTTCTGAATACAGTGTATCAAGCTCCATTGCAAAGTATTAGAAGTGTATGTGTTTAAAAGAAAATTAAAAAGTTGATTGCGGTCAATTTAGTTTGAAATTCCAACACTGTATCAGTAAATCAGTATTTTTACTACTGAATAACTAAATCCCCAAGAGTGATGGCTTCTACAGAGTCAGTCTCAGGCTAAAAGTTATAGCACTCTCCTCCTCTTGAGAGATAGCTTTCAAGGTGGGAAAAGCAAACTGTTGAAGACCAGAGACCCATCAACTTGAGGGGTTGGGTTCCAGTTGTCACTCAGAAGGACTGAATTTCTGTCCCAGGTTTCGGCACAAATGCTCATCTTTACTTTCAATTGACATAACTGTAGAAAATTACTCTTCATCTTCCAACTGGGATTGGCTGGTATTTCCCACTCCGGCTGCTCATCATCTTAACTACCCATTTTCCTCACCAGCAAACCCACTGATGCTTCTTCAGCACTTGTCTGTCTGACACCCTGTCCCAGCTCTCCTGGCTTTTACTTTCACTTCCATGTGCCCTTGGTTGCTGCTGGCTGGTGGGCTCACTGGCCACTCCAGTATCTTGAATATTTCCACCTTGAAAGTTTACAGTGTGTGGTGCAGTCAGACATGCAGTAGACTTCTTGGTTTCTTATTGTGTGAAATCGAAGGGTATTTCCTCTTTGGCAGTAGTTGACTAACAGTGACAACTCTGATTTCAGATCTGTGACAGAGGGTCTGCAGCCTGGATATGGTGAAATGTTCTTTGCACTTAAGTCATGATAAATCAGGTTGTACTGTATGAGTGCCAGCCTGCAAACCTCTTGCCTGGCAATTACCAATAGTGTTCGGTTGTTGCTGTTGAAAATTGGGCCATAACTTTGTAGTGAAGTAACACCACCAGGTGCAGAAACCTTGCCTGGATGGCAAACCTTGCAAAGATTTTTGTCCCCTGAAGTCAACTGGGCAATGCAATATCTTGTAGGCGTAGATGCTAACTATTGCTAGGTGGTTAGCTTCACTAATCTTATGAGCTGTCACAGCCTCTAAGCTATTTGGTATTTTCATTAATACCATTCTATTTCAAAAATTAACCTTCCACCTCTCTGCACAGAAATTGTAGTTGCTAAAGTTGCCAGACGAGCCTACCAGACCTGTTGGAACAGGACAGAAGAAACAAAGCTATGGACTTCCTTCATTCATCACTTAGCTTGCAGCCCGGCGCTTGAAATATATCAGCCCATTCCTATTACATTTCTGTGATGAATGGTGGAAATGCAGTCAGTAAATAACATTGCTGTGTTGGTAGTAATGTGAAAAGCAAAACCTGATGAGAGGGCACGCAGAAAACATGAGTGGAAGTGCCCAGGTTGAGGCTCTCAGGGCAGAACATGTGTAAGAAACTGCTTGCAGGTGGTTTGGGGATTTTGGGAATGAAATTGTTCTCTGAATCTCAGTAACCCCCACCCAACGAAGTCACCACAGTTGTTTGGGTGCAACTGAAAGGAAGGCTGTAGCTTTGCCCTTTCATGGAGAGGTTTGCAAGCTCCAAGTGTCAGGCCCTCTAGGGTGGATAAATAGCAGCTGCACTGACATCAGGTTGCACTTCCCAGCTAATCCATACTTGGAACTCACTCAATTTCATGCCTTAAGATATTATCGATGATGGAAAATAGCATATTGGGCAGGCTTGTTGATCAGTCATCAGGTGGTCTAGTGGCAAGATGTTTTCAGTGGCTGGCCATACATACAACCATTGCGTTTCAGATGATGCGGTGTGGATTGAGGCTTTCATATGGGAAATTAGGGTATGTTCATGAGATAGATTTAGTATTTGATCTCTATTTCTGCAGTTTGGGGTTGTGCTCCTTCAAGTACGGGAGTGTGAATGCGAAGTTTAGGTAGTAATTATTGTACTTCCAGTTGGCCTCTGTTAGGGAAGGTCTGCAGCTGTTTACAAGTTGGTAGAAATAGTTTTTGTAAACTATTTTTGATGTATTTTCCTGATCAGAAAAACTGAATTTGCAGTCTGTAGCTCTAGTTCCACAGTAAAATTGTTAATTGCATGTGTGATGCTAATTTTAAAGGCAGAAGTTTTGAGAGCATCTCTCTTCTATCCCATTTTGAACACTGAACTTTTCAATTCATACTTAGAGACTTTCATTTACATTTTAGGGTTTGTTACACCATTTAGTTAAAGGTGATGTCAGTCTTTTTCTGACTTGCCTTGTTATTTAGCTATAGATGTCTTCTTAATATGCACATAGCCAGGCTTTGGTTGTCCCCATTAGGCAGGGAAGTTGCAGAAATGCTCTGCTTCAGTCCACCACCTTTGTGAATGACTTTTGAGGGAGAAAAGAAACAGGAGTGTTATTCTTATAATTTTATCACAGTACTGGAATTTTCTTTTTAAAGCCATGGGTCTTGGAGTCTGGTGATGATGTCAGATTTCATTTTAGAATGAAAAAAAATGTGAAGAAAAGCTTGAGGACGTGAGCCAGACCCCAGAAGGCTGAGGAAACAGAAAAAAAAAGATCAGGATTTGATTTTCTTCTGTTTGTTACACTGTGATTCTTTTTAAA